TGTCCCGCCGAGTGAGCTGTTTCTTTGCACATGTTGATCGCCACTGCATAAGCTCAGAACAGAGTTCTCATTTGTTTTGGTGTTATGGTTATCTACGCAGAGTTTCTCGTTGCGTGAGAACGCGGTCGATCCCCCCACCGCTAAAAGATCCGGTGGTATTCTTCCTGAGAGTTGGTTTTCGGACAAATCAATGAAACTCAGCTTCAACTTCACAAGATTCGCCGGGATTTCACCCGTTAGTCCGTTGCTTGAGAGGTCCAACGAGTTCAAAAAAGTGATCTGAGACAAACCACTGGGGATTTCTCCGGTCAAGAAGTTCTTGGCAAGATTCAGATCGACAAGTCTGACGCAGTTTGTCAATCCGAGGGGTATATATCCGGTTAAAGAATTGTTCTCTAGATGCAGAGAAGACAACTGTTTCAAAGATCCAAGTTCTGTCGGAATTTCGCCGGAAATATTGTTGTTGCTCAGATAAATCCTCTCTATACTGATCAGTTTCCCGAGTTCACGAGGAATCTTGCCGGAAAATCTGTTGTTCTGCAAAATTAGCTGGCTCAATTCCGTCGAAAGACCGATCTTAGAAGATATCTCTCCCGTGAGACCGTTATCGCTGAGATCGATCATCTTAGCAAGTGGCAGAGCCCAAAATCCTTCAACAACGTGACCACTTAAACGATTTTGGTTAATCCTGAGTCGTAAGAGAGATTTACAATCGCCGTAGGATCGCGGAATCTCCCCGGAAAAACCGTTCTGCAAGGCGAGCAAGAACCGCAGTTTCTTGTTTTGGCATAAGAATTCAGGAAATGGACCAGTAAAGCCGTTCTCAGATATATCAACCGTGTCCAGCGGCGAGAACCGGCCGATGTTCGCCGGAAATTCACCGGTGAAATTGTTCCTATAGATTGACAAGGAAGTGAGGAAACGTAGTTCTCCAAAACCAGAAGGGAATTCACCGGTAAAGTTGTTTTCATGGCAGTGAAAAACCCTGAGCTCTTTCAGATTTCCTATTTCTCTAGGTAATGCACCGCTCAACCGATTCAAAGAAACATCGATTTCCCGTAAACGAGTCAGGTTTCTGATCTCCGGGGGGATTTCACCGGTTAGTGTGTTGTTGTACAGCTCGATCTTGGTGAGTTTCACCAATCTTGTGATCAACAATGGAAACTCACCCGAAATCGCGTTGTTCGCGATGTCGAATGTGTCGAGACCATTCAAATCGAAGATTGAGTGTGGAATCTTCCCGCTTAAGTTAGTTCGAGCTAAGAACAACCACGTCAAGTTCTTTAAACCTCCAATACTCTCAGGAATCTCACCTTCTTCGTAGAAATTGTTCCCGAGACCGAGAGAAACCAAACGAGTCAGATTCCCGACCCAGCTCTGAAACTCTCCGGTAAGGAAATTCACGGAGATATCGAGAATTTCTAGGTTTTTCAGAGGAGAAAAGTCCGGGACTTTACCGGAGAGTCGATTGGCGGTGAGATTCAGGACTTTAAGGTTTGTGCAGTTGAGTATCTCCAGCGGGATTCTCCCAGAGATAGAATTAGAGGGCAGTGATAAAGTAGTGAGCTTTGTGAGAGTTGAGATCGCCGGAGAAATGGAGCCGGAGAGATTTGCGTTCCCTAGAGAGATACCGGTGACTTCGCCGGACATCGGATCGCACGTGACGCCGCGAAACAGGCACGGCGAATCGGTGGGATTCCAAGATTGTAGAACGTTGTGAGGATCGTTGAGGCGGTTTTTGAAACGAAGCAGAGCTTGTGTCTCAACGGTCGAGCTCACGTTTGGCGGGAAAATTGAAAGGAGAATTGTGGCGGCCAAAGTGACGACCATGCCACGTCGCATGTCTGGTCTTCTCGACATTTACGGTGATATTCAAGGGCAAAACGGTCAATTTATAGCTTAGGTCTTAATCATGGTCGATGCACTGGAATTTCACCTACATTAAAAAAAAAAAAAAAAGATATGAAATTAACAGTTCATCATCCACTTAGTGACTCACTTCCAACAAAATTTAACAATATCAGAATTTAGAACATTGAGATATAAAACCAATTTACTTAGAATATATATTGATGACATTGTGCATGGTAATAGTATTATGGTTGCCAAGTGTGGTTGGTATACAAATATGAATATTGAAAAACTAATCAATTACAATAATGATTTCGTAAAAAGAAATAAAGAATGGGTCATGGTATTCTCACCTAGTTTTAGAAAAATGAAATCAAATGTTGTAATAAATTTATAACCAATAATTTTTACACCATGGTTATACTAAAAATAAAATGGATGAACAAAAATATGTATATGTAAATGGAGAAATAAAGCTTGCTTATATACTAAACATTCACAAACTCCATAAGTGAGCTTTAAAGGTACTCATTACAGGTGCAAAAGGTTTATTTTCCTTCTGCTACATGATTGATTTAATCATTTGCTTTCAAAGTAAAGCAAATGGTCTATCTTTCATTCTCTCTCTCTTTAATCTATGAATATTTTCTTTAGATTTGGTGAAAATAAAGAAGAAGAACCCAAGGACCCAAC